AAGAGTCATATAGTTGACAGTGGTGAAGGGGGCTTCTGGAGAGGCTGGAAATCTAGTAATGTTCTATTTCTTTACCTTGGTGGTGATTACACAAATGTGTTCACTTTGGGATAATAGAGGTAAACACTTAAAACTTGGTACATTTTCCTATATATACATTATACTCAAATAAAAAGTTATAAAAAGGAAGGAAGGTACAAGCCCTCTGTTCTCTCCTTCCTGGTACTGGAGACACAAATTAAATGAAAAAAGTTGGAGCAGCCAGATTAGACACAGACAGAAGCTACCAAACACTGAAACTGGTAAAGCTGTCTTCTCAGCTGAGGACTTCTTACCTCTGCTATGTCACATGAGAGAAATAAAATTCTATACATTCTATACTATTGAAGCTATAGAGAACTTTTTATTTATTCATTTATTTTTCATTTTTATTTCTTAACTTTCAGAAGGTACATGTGTCCATTTACCAGAGAGGATGGAGAGAAGGTGGGTGGAGAAAAGCATCCCCAAATGGGGCATGGTCACACCACAATTTCTCCTCCATTTCTTCATCTTGTTAGGATGTACAGGGGGACCAGCAGTTTGCTATGTAATGGACTCCCATGTAGTCAACCATGGTTCGCATCCCAGACCCAGTGGCTTAAACTCATGCCAGGCACGCGTGCATGTGTGCCCAAGATCCCGAGAGAACAACAGAGGAAAAGGGATTGTGGCATGGCCATCCCCCCTGGGGGGTGATTTCTCGCTTTCTGTCTCTCTGTCTCTCTCTGTCTGTCTGACAAGCGCACGCACCCTATAGCAAAAACCTCTCCAAAAAAAAAAAAAAAAGGATGTACATATACACATGTACCAAGTTGCTAGTGTTGGGACTCAAACCAACACTGGCCATGTGGGACCTGGCTCCTATAAGCCAGATCCTATTTGTTTTGTTATCCATGATCTTGCTCTGTCACAATCTTTTTGCCTTAGCCTCCTGAGTAGCTGGGACTATAGGACTCACCATCACATTCAGTTTTTACGGTGGGCTGGGAATTGAACCCAGAACCTGGGCTCCCCATGTAGCCTTAGTCTGCAGAATAGCAGCATCTCACTAACATGTGCCACCACAGCTGGGTCAAAACTACAGAGTTCTTACATCTTTTTTTTTTTTTTTTTTTTTTTGAGAGGTTTTTGCTATAGGGCACGTGCGCTCATCCGGAAGACAGAGCAACAGAAAGTGAGAAATCAGTCCCCAGGGGTGATGGCCACGCTGCAATCCTTTCTCCTCCATTCTCCTCTCGGGATCTTGGGCATACATGCACACTTGCCCAGCTGAATTTAAGCCACTAGGCCTGAGACTCAACCCGTAGTCGACTACATGGAAGTCTAGAGACATAGCCATTACGCTAACTGCTGGTCCCTTACATTTTTTTTAATAGCAGTTTTAGAGGCATCCTAATTAGTAAATAAGAAAGTATTAGCCTGAACACAAAGTATTTTTGTTAATGTGTAATTCGGGTGTTTTTACCTGTTTGCTTTTTTTTGCTAAGGAGGAGAGGTATTGTAGATGATTTTATGCTGTAACTGTGACCTCTATAAGTTCCATAAGCTGATTTATGTAAAGATAAACAAAAGTTCTTGTTATTCCTAACAATAACTAGCTCTAAACTATGTTCTGGATCAAAAAAGACTTTATTGGTTTTATTTTTTAGATACCAGAAGTTATTGAAACAATTAGTATACTCTGAGTAGAATCTGTTACCAGATGTTAGTAATGTATCAATGTTTTCTTATATTTAATCAGTATACTATGGTTATGTAGGAGCATGTTCTTTTATTTAGGAAAAATACACTGTAGTACCCAGGAATAATGAGCCATCATGTCTGCAACCTACTGTCAAATGATTTAGAAAAAAAACACTAACATGAGAAACAAAGAAAGAAAGGTAGGAAAGAAGAGAGAAAAATAAGGGAGGAAGGGAGATAGAGGGCAATGTGGTAAATTGTTAACAACTGGGGACTCTAGAAGAAGGATATGTGAGAGTTGTTCTATTTTGGTAATTTTCTGAAGACTTGATACTACTTCAAAATAAAAAGTTTAAAATATAATGCTTAGTGTGGTGCTTACGGTGGCTGGATCCCACATGGCCAACTACGTGGTTCACATTCTGGACCCTGAGACTTGAAACACACACTGGAAATGTGTACGTACACACCCCAAATCCCAAGACAAGAATAGAGAAGAAGGGACTGTGGCATGGCCATTCCCCCTCAGGTGTGCTTTGTCACTTTTCCTCTCTCTTTCTCTGTCTCTCTAGCAAGCACACACACCCTGTAGCAAAAAATAAAGATAACATAAATTGGTTATGTCTGTGAAAAGCCAAATATAAACCAAACAGATTTGTGCTATGTATAAAACACCAAGTGCACAATAAAGAAAGAAAAATGACCAGAACAATAACTAGTGGGTTCCCAGGACAAGTTATCAGTAGTGACTTGAAGTCGTCTAAGGTTTCTGAGCATCAGTTATCATTTTTTTTAGAATTACCTATTTACTTAACTTTGTTATTATTATTATTTTTTATTTTGATCAGAGAGAGTCAGAGAGAGAGAAAGGGAAAGTGAGAAAGAAAGCCACCAGGTCCAGGACTCGAACCACAGTTGGCCACGTGGGAGTCCTGAGCCCTTAACTGCCATACTACCTGCTGGCCTGAGCATCAGTTATCTCACTGACAGCATTTAATTAAGTGGTTTTTAAAGTTCTTTTCCAAGGACCAGCAGTTGGCATAATGGCTATGTTGCTGGACTCCCATGTAGTTGACAGCAGTTCAAGTCCCAGACCGGGTGGCTTAAACTCACGCCAGGTGTGTGTGTATGCGTGCCCAAGATCCCAAGAGGAGAATGGAAGAGAAGGGATTGCGGCATGGCCATCCCCCTGGGGGGGGGGGGGTGATTTCTCGCTTTCTGTCTCTGTTTCTGTCTGTCTTTCTGGCGAGTGCACACACTCTATAGCAAAAACCTCTATATATAAAAAGAGTAAAGTTCTTTTCCAAGTTTAAAATTCTACAATTCTCAATTACTTCCTATGCTTACTACCTTAACCTCCCATACATTTTATTTAAAAATACACGTTTCGTAAAATTAATATACATTTTTTTAATTCCAAGACTAAAGTTTACATGATTTTTCAACAAACTGTATATTCAATCATAGGGGAATCTTTAATAAGTGACTCAAAATCTTGTCAATTTGGCAGCAGCCACTATACTCACATAATATCCACACCTCCTGGAGTAGCTGATGATGATGTCTGCTCTTTGCTTGATGAAGAATCAGTAGTACATTCTGGTTCAGATACTGAATCACTGCTGCAGGGCTCACTATTTGGAGATGCATTTCTTTGAGAGGTAGTGTCGACTGCTATAGATGTTAATTCACCCTCACTGAATGCATCACTTATAAACATGCCTTCATGGGTTAAATAAGCCACCTCTGTGTCCAGTGAATTATCTTTCGCAGCATGCTTCTGTTGTGAAATCTCCTCCAATTCTCTAGTCCTTTGGTTTTTGTCAAGAACCGAGAGAACAACACTGTGAATGATATTTAACGTTGCCTACAAGAAAACAGGATACATTTTTAAACTATTTAAAATATCTTGTACCTAAAGTTCCCAAAACTGAATTCTGTACATGTTGTTTTGAACATCTATGATCATAAATGACTAAAGGTCTATATATCAGAAAGTTTACCAATCTTTTATTTCATAGTAAAAGTGACTTGTGAAAAGAACTACTCAGGGCCAACCAGCGGTGTGGTGGTTAAGGCAGCTGGATCCCACATGGCCAACTATGCAGTCTGAGTCCCAGATTTGACAGTCTGAAAAATATGCTGGGCACACATGTGCATGTGTGTGACCAAAATCCAAGAGGAGAATGGAGGAGAAGGGATTTTAGTGTGGCCAACCCCCCTGAGAGGTGCTTTCTCCCTCTCTCTCTGTCTTCTCTAGTGAGCACATGCACCCTCTGGCAAAATTAGAAAACAAAACAAAAAAAACCTGCTAAAGTTTAAAAGTTTAAAAATAAGAGTTCCTGTATTTAGCTCATTTTTTAATTGGCAATCTCCTTAAAATATATTGCATACTTCTCTAACCTCTTAAACAGGTTACATTAAACACAACATAACTTGCCTATCAGAGTCATATTAATTGATAGACCTCCTTAAAAGGAAAATAATCAGGCCAGACTGTGGTGGTTAAAAGGGCTGGATCCCATCTGGCCAACTGTAGGGCACGAGTTCTTGTCCTGGTAGCATGAAAAACATGATGGATACATGCACACAAGTACCCAAAATCCTGAAAGGAGGGAGAAAGGAAAAAGAGACTGCAGAGTGACCATCCCCTGGGGGAAGGTAAAGGGGCAATACTTTCTCTCTCCTCCCCTCCCCGACCACAGGCACACACGTGTGTTGAGTACATGCACCTTCTGGCAAAATGGAAAGAAAAAAGAAAATCCATGTTCCTTACCAGGCCTAGTTCCTGCCCATCTCTCTCCTCATCTCATATTTTCTCTTAATTACTACTGTCCACACATTCTGGTTCTCTTTCTATTCTATCAGTCCAAGGTTGTTCCCACCTCAGTACCTCTGCGGTTTCCTATGCCTGGAATGCTCTTCACCTTGGCCTTTGTACACTCTTCCTTCTCATCACTCATGGTTCTGGCACAAATGGTGAACTGCTAAAGAGGATTTCCCAGATTCCTCCCTCAGCAACTCTATCCCACTACCCATTTTTGTTTTGCCTTAGTAGCATTTATCATTAGCTCAAATTACTTTTTCTACTTTGTTTATTCTAGGTCTTCTTCATTAGGATGTTAACTCCATGAAATACCATGATCCTAATGCCTACAATAGTGCCTACCAAATAGGAGGGCTTTATAAATATTAAAGCTAGATAAATGGTAGTTAAGTTTATGCTCTTATCCATTTTCATGGACTACTAAGAAATAAGGACAGGCAGTGGTGTGGTGGTTAAGGCAGCTGGATCCCACATGGGCAACTACAGTTTGAGTCCCAGACCTGGCAGCTCGAAAAGCATGCCGGGCACTTAAGTGTGCATGTGCCCAAAATCCCAAAAAGAAAATAGAGGAGAAAGGATCACATAGGAACCATGCCCGTGCCCCTCCTAGGGTGGGGTGCTTTCTCATTTTCTCTTTCTGTCTCTTTCTCGTGCTCTGTAACAACAATAAAAATTAGGGAAAAAAAAAAAAAAAAAATAAAAAAAAAAAAGTAAGGGACCAGCAGATGGCATAATGGCTATGTCACCAGACTTCCATGTAGTCAGCCGTGGTTCGAGTCCCCACCCCAGTAGCTTAAACTCATGCTGGGTGTGTGTGTGTGCGTGCCCAAGATCCTGAGAGGAGAATGGAGGAGAAGGGACTGCAGCATGGCCATCTCCCCAAGGGGGGTGATTTTTGTGTTTCTGTCTCTCTGTCTTTCTGGTGAGTGCACACACCCTCTAGCAAAAAAACCTCTCCAAAAAAAAAAAAGGAAAAGGCTATTGTCTAACATTCATGGTTGCAGTCTCATAATTTGTTGCTTCCTTTCTCAAAACTTTCTTTGAGATCTTCATGGTTCTAGGATAGCCACTCTAACTTCAGGTCTTGAAAATCAGAATAAGGGGCAGGGCCGGCAGATGGTGTGGTGGTTAAGACTCTGGACTCCCACAAGGCCAACCATGATTTGAGCCTGGACCTGGCGGCTTGCTTTTTCACTTTCCCTCTCTTTCTCTCTCTCTCATCAAATTAAAAAATAATAAAATAATTCTTAAAAAAAAAAATGGGCTAAACTAGTCCAATCAACAATGAAACACCAAAGTCTATCTTAAAGCTAAAGAACATACATAGAAGAGACCAACAGTGCTAAAGAGAAACAAAGCCAAGGCTTGATGACATCAACAACCTTTCTATCAAATATGTAAATGCTGACCTAACTTTGGATATTTTTCAGTTATATGAACTAATAAATCCCCTTAATTTTTTTAGTCACTCTGAATTCTGTTTCTTGTTATTTGGAAGCACTCTAAGTAACATAAATATCCCACACAGTATACAGCAGATATAGCCTTCAAATGCTTTAGTATCAAAGTATCCACAGATATTTTATATTTTTCTCTCTCCACTGATCACAACTTCTGTATTGTCACAAATTTGCTTCTTGCTATACTCCACCACAGCTGTTTCAACTCTCTACTACCCTCTACTACTATCCAATCTTTGATGTGCTTCTATCATTCATCTTCATTTTGTCTTTCTTCTTAATTATCTGTATTACTGATTTTTTTTAAGTTTTATTTTATTTCTTCTGAGAAAGAAAGAGAGAAAGAGAGACAGAACTCCCAACAGTCCTGATGCCACAACCTATCCTCAGCTTTCGTGAGCCCTGGACCATGACCGTGCATATGTTTAAGGTATTTAGGGAGGTCTCCATACACAAACCCAGAACCTCCTCCCTACATGGATCAGCCTGGAACAGCATCACATTTTCCTGCTGTGCCACCATCCAGCCTCCTAATTTTCTTTCTTCTTTTTTTTTTCAAATAAGACCATGATGATGGACAGAGTCTTCTCTTCCCAACAGCTATTCTACATGTCCCTTATGGTATATTAGCCATATAATTTGGGTGGAACTGAGCCCACCTTCTAGCTTGTTCAGTGTACTTTCAACTTCCTAGTTTCATGATTATTAACTGATTATTAAAAGAAGAAAAATACAGATCTAAACCAATCAAAGCATGGCATTTTCCTGACCAGTGATTGGATATATGATATAAATTGGTTTAATCAATTAAAGCCAAGGGCTTTTACTTAATGACTAGAGGGGAAAAAAGTCTCTTGCAGTGATACCAGGCATGCATATAAGTGCCCATGATGCAGCACGCTAATAGACTGGAGGAAGGGGACTGTGGTATGACCAAACCCTGTAGAGGTGCTCATTTCTTTCCCTGTTTTTCTCTCACTTTCATATAGATGCACATGCACTGTATTATGAAGAAAGAAAAAACATTTTCAAAACCTCCTGTGGTATATATAAATGTGGTTAGGTCTGGAACTAATAAAGCAAACAAAGGAAGGCAGAAATGAATTAAAAACAGAAAAATTAAGCTGGAAAACCAAGGGGGAAAAAAAACCATGTACAAAGATGATTCTGGTCTTGAACTATTTTTAGTTATCTGAACCAATGTTTAAACTAGTTTGATTTGAATATTTTGTCCCTCTAAAGTAACAATATCTTAGCTGATACAATAATAAATTTCCCCTATGTATCAGGTGTTCTCCTAGGGATTCTTCTTTGCTGTTTTCACCATATCTACAATTTTAAAGAATTGCTGACTGTTTTTACCAAGTCCAGAGCCATTCTTATGTAAGGATATCAGAAAACTGGCCTCCAAAAACAAGGTTTTTTTTTAATAATCTATAGTGGGTTCAATGGTAGATGTATTGTTTACTTTCTAAACTACCTACTTCAGCAGTCTGTAGACAAACTTATGATTCAAAAAGCCAGGCAGCTAACCCAAATATAATTGCTTAATTTTCAGAATAGAGTGAATAAAATACCATGGTAATCATATTAATAAATAACAGATAATTATTTGTGCTCAAAATGAATAATTAAGAACTAAAAATTCCATTAAAGAAAAAAATGCTGGGGACCAGCAATGCACGTAATAGTTATGTCATTGGACTACCATATGGCTGATTGTGGGTAGAGCCCCAAACACAACAACTTAAAACTCACACTAGGTATGTGTGAATACATGCATGCCCGAAATCCCAAGAAGAGAATGGAGGACAAGGGATTGTGGTGTGGCCATCCCCACTCAGGGGTGATTTCTTACTTTCTCTCTCTCTCTGTCTCTCCATTGAGTCCACGTACCCATAGCAATAATCTTTTTCTAAAAAAAAAAAAAAAAAAAAAAGGAAAAGAAATCACACAAAAAAGTATTATTATATAATACTTAATCAAGTAAGCTTTATAAAATGTCTTGCTAATATAAAATGAATCATCCATAATCATAAAATTTGCTAAAATACTGTGATACATTTTAATTCCTGTTTAAAATCAAGCTTCTCTAGAAAAATTACAAATAAATTGTGTTTTATTCAAGCTTGATTCTCTGTGTATGCATCTATCTATCTGTATCTGTATATCTATGTGTGTGTGCACGCATGTGTGTGTTTATAGGATCTAGAAAGTTGAGTTAATTTTAGAGATATTCTCGACAAATTGATACATAAGCTTACCTTAACTCTCTGTAGAAAAATTGTAAACTTAGAGAAAATATCCTTTAGCAAATCAAACCACTGGGGGAAATTCAACATTCTCATCTGATCTGCAAGCCTAGAAAAAATAATTCATACAAAAATGATTGCATCTGGGCCAATAAGATAACATCTGCAAACTGGAGGAAACTATACTAAATACTACCTATTGACATAAGAAATGCAATTTTACTTACATATCTAACTAAAATCGTGGAATCTTGAGTTGAGGAAGTCAATTACCAAACAATTCCTACTTACTTATGTAACTTTAAGACTAGTCTTGTCAAAGTATACTGATGCATGAACCTTATAACAATTCTATATGAACATGCTTCATGACCATTGAATGAATGAACCATAAAGGAACAAACCAATTTTGGTTAAGAGTGAAAACATATTCTGGAATAAAATAGAAACATAGTATCTTCCCCAACAAAATGAAAATGTCTTTTCCACATTAGCATGGTAGCTAAGAGCATTGGCTCTGGAGCTATACTGCCACAATTCAAATTCCAGAAGCCTACTGGAATTACTGACTGTGTGACTCTGGTAAGTGACTTTATGCCTCCACATCTAACCCTCTCATCTTAACATGAGAAAAATAATAAAACCTACTTTATACAGTGGTTGTAAATATAAAATGAATTAGTAAAAAGTACTTAGAACAATGCAGAGTACATTTTTTAAAATGTACTGTAAGTATCAACCAGTATTATGTTTATAGTAGCCATTAATAAGTAACTTCAAGGTTAAAAAAAATTAGTGCAAAGTAAAATTCCATTAAGATATTTTACAGTACTAAAATCACTTGTTACTCTGAAGTTTTAGTGAATGTGCCACAGCTGGGGGTTTATTCTCAAAAGATTTTCCTATACTTGATCTATAGGAATTTCTCTATTTAAGAAAATAAAAACTAATTGATTCTAATATAGTCCTCATGACTTACATTTTCCAACTACTAGCAATTTTCCCATTGTAGTTGTTTCAACTAATTCTGAAAATAGGTTTTCCCAGGTAATAGTGTGGAAATTAAAACTCCACAATCTCCATTTTGCAGGTTTAGATCGTAGAAGCCTTAAAGTTGTCTATATTGCTATTCATACCATAGGCCAGTAAATAAAGCATAGATATTTACATAAATGAGAAATTCAGTCACAAAATATTATTCCTGTTCTTTTCAAAATAAAATAAGAGCAATTTCAAAGGTAAAACAGAAAAAAATTACAGATGTAGATAATTCGAAACCATATACTAAAACTTTTCAAAGCCACTTAGAAACTGGGTTTTACTTGCATTGCTAAATAATTTAAACTTAATACTTATTATTCCCTTGTAATAAGTTATCTTCAATTCTATCTTCTTCCTATCTAGGTTCTACTCCTCTTTGTCCTCTGCCCTAGCAGACCAACCTACTGGGCGTGACGTCTTAGGAGCTTATACAAAGACTAGGAAAGAAAGTACTTCTCCAGGTACCTCAACATGCCTCCTTCCCCTCACTCAAGGTTAGTTTTGTTTGTTAGCTTTTTAAAAACTTTTTTTACATGTCTTTTTCCTGAATTTTATTAACTGCTCTCTTTCCTTATCTCTTAAAATTAGTGCACTATCACTTGATTTTCCTATACACTGCTTACACCTTAGCAAATAATTCCTTAATAAAGTCTTCCATAAATTATTTTATTGTGTTTGTCATCTTTTCCCTGACTGATAAGCACCAATCTATATATTTATACTTACTTCACAATGACATCTGTGTCTATTTCTTCTATTTGTGAAACTTTATTAATCACACACTGTGAAATTTAAGAAAAAAAGAACAATTTGATTAATTATTTTTAGAATCCTAAGTACTTTGTTTCATTTGTCCATTAAAAGAACCTCAGTGGGTCAGCAAGTGGCGTGGAGGTTGTGCCATTCCACATGGCTGACTGTGGTTTGAATCTTGGACTTGACAGCTTGGAAATCAAGCAGGGTGCATGTGAATGCATGCCTGAGGAGCCTGAGGTGATAGGTGATCTCTCTCTCTCTCTCTCTCTCTCTCCAGAAAGCACAGGCACCTATAGCCAAAAAAAAAAAAAAAGTTCTGTCACTATAATCATTTACCAGACTTTTCTTACATATACGTCAAGATATTTGAAAACTGCTGTATTACTCTTACCCTATCAAATGATTATTTCAGAGTATGACTGAACTATAATAATTAAAATCTACTACTCTTCAACATCATACATAACAAACTATAATAGTTAATAAAATATAAGCCCCACATTAAAGTGCCAAAAGAAATTCCTACTGAATTTATATTCAAATCAAAATACTTTCCATGTAATACATACATCAATTTAAAAATATTTTAAATAAATAAATTATTAGACTTCAGTACAAGTCAGAAAATTAAAGCATGGCAGGTAAAAGAAAAATTTAGAGTTTAGTTCTGTATACAAACAGAAGGCCAGCAGGTGGCATGGTGTAAAGGTGCTGGACTCCCACGTGGCTCAAGTCCTGGACCTGGCAACTTAAAAATCATGTAGGGCATATGTGCAAACTACTCAGAATCCCAAAAAGAGAGTGGAAGAGAAGGGATTGTGCCATGGCCATTCCCCCAGGAGGTAATTTCTCCCTTTCCCTCTCTTTTCTCTCTCCAGCAATAATCACATGCACCCTACAGCAAAAGCCTGAAAAAAAAAAAAAAAAGGAAAAAGAAGTATACAAACAGTAAACCACACAAATTATGTTCATAGTTCAATGCTTTTTTACAAGTGGAGGACATGAAATTAAATATTACCGGTATCCAGAGCCCCTCTCCCTCTCCTGTTCCACTCCCTGCTCTTCTTACTTCCTCCCAAAGATACTGCTATGATGATTTCTAAACCACAGGTTAATTTTGTCTGTGTTTAAATTTTATATAAGTGGAATCATATGTACATATTATGTCTGGCTTCTTTAGTTCCACATTATATCTGTGATATTTATTTACATTTTTTTGTGTAGCTTATTCATTTTCATGGCTGCAGAGTATATTTCATTGTGTGTTTATCCAAAATTATTACCCTTTCCACTGATGATGGAATTTGGGTCACTTCCAATTTTTTACAAAAGTTATAAATAGTGATACTAGAAGCATTTCTACTGTGTTTTAGAGAACTTATGTGAGTGAATAGTGAATACATAGGGACAAAAACGCTGTATCACAATGTAAGTGACATTAGTAGATATTGTCAAATGACTTCCTAAAACAATTGAACAAAATGTAAATTATACTGTAGAGGGAAGTAAAGAGATTAATTATGTTTTGCTTGTTTTATTTAAACAAACAAAAAAATCCCAGATATGTACATTCAATCTAATGATGATTGTCAATTAAGCCTAATAAATGCATCTAAAATTATTCTCTTTTTCATATATTGAAAAAATGAAGTTCAGTGGATGAATTTAGCTAAGTAAAACAAGTCAAAACAAAGATTGGGAAAGACATAAAAAAGTCAGATGGATTTTAGTTTATAAATAAAATTGTTTAATGATCAGGGTGAAAAGAAAATGAACATTTGTCTGCTGCTGGTGGTTGTATAAATTGGAAAAATCCTTTTCTTTCTTTTTGGCAGACCATGTAAGTATTTGCCAGAGAAAGAGAGACAGGGAGTAAGCACCTCACAATGGGGAGTAGTCACACTGCAATCCCTTCTCTTGCATTGAGATTTGGGGCCAGAGTTAGGATTTGAATCATGTGGTCAGCCATGTAGAATCCAACCCCCTTAACCAGTGGGCCATGGGACCACCCTGGTAAAGTCTTTTTAAATAGCAATTCAGTCCCATGTATTAAAAAAATAGAGTTAATAATATTTTCTACTCTACAACCAATAATTCTATTTCTGGGAATTGGTATAAGTAAATAGTTTAAAATATCAAAAGCAAACAAAATAACTATACCAAAGATGTCTATCCCAGTGTTACTTACAGTATCAAACTGAAAACAATTTAAATATTCAACACAGAAGAAGAGCTGAGTAGGTTTAATCAACATTATGTGGTTAGAATCTAGCCAATCATGGTGGCACAGTGGTAACGCGACAGTCTCTAACCCAGTACACATCCTAAGCTCTCCTTGTGCGTGCCAGGCACAAATGCATGTGGCTGAGGTGATGGAAGGACTGCAGGGTTAGGCTCCTATTAGGGGAAGGACTGCAGGGTTAGGCTCCTATTGAGGGTGTTCTCTCTCTCACAGAGAGATATACTTTTTAAAAATGATATTTCTGCAGGTTTATATAATAAGAGAAAAAATTTGTGCTATGATTCTAACTGAAAAAATATGTTCAAAATCATATACACATTAAGACAACAGCAGAAATCAATAGTAATAATCAGTTCAGAAATACTCTTTTCCTTTTTATTTATTTCTTCCACAAACAAAAGAGACAGAGACAGAGAGTCTATGTGGGTACCCCCAACAGGGTCTTGATACCATGATCTACCTTTAGCCTGGGCTGGTTCAATTATGGACCCATATATGTATGCCTGTCACACTCTGGGTGGTCTCTTGATGTGAACCCAGAACCTTCCCATCTGGGTAAGCTGTGCAGAGCATCTTGTTTTATTGCCACACCAGCATTCCATCCCCTACATACAGACACCCACCCCACCCCCCCGCCATTTTCACTACAGGGAGCTAGCAATTCATGAGAGAAAGAAAGAAAGTGAGAAAGCACACCCCAATGGGGATGACCACACTAGAATTTCCTCTCCTCCATTTCTCTTTTTAGGACTTCAGGCAAGCACATACATGCGCTGTACACATTTTTCAAGCTGCCAGGTCCAGGACTCAATTTGCCAATTGGCCATGTGAGATCCAGCCTCTTTAACCACCATGCCACTGGCTGGTCACAGAAATATTCTTAAAGTGGCTCAGCTGCACGGACTCAGACAGAAAAGCATCACTGCATGCTGGCTGAGGCCACATGGGAAGTCCTAGGTTTGGAATGGTTTGGTGCATGGCCCAACTTGAACAAGTTAGGCACAGTGGTGCAAGCCTGTAGTCCTAGCTAACTAAGAGGCTAGGGTAAGAAAATCATGACAAGGAGAGACCATGTCAAAACATCTGTCTCTCTCTCTCTCTCTCTCTCTTTCTGTCCTGGGCTCACTCTCATTTAAAAAAAAGAAAAGAAAAGAAAAGAAAAGAAAATAGTCTTAAAGTGATAGTTTTTTGACTGGTAAAATGTTTTTATTATTTTGCTATATTTTCAATTTTTAAATAAATGAGTAAGTACTACTATTTACTTCATGTATTATAGGATAACATAAAAATAAACCTCACAAAAGAGTCTAGACCAAAATATATAAAAGTGTATGATTACCTGTTTAATGATATTCTTTGCTGTAATAATCACTTCTTCACCATACATTTCTAAAAAATTAAGTTTTCTTTGTTTTAAAAGTCCAAAAACAAGAGATACTAGTCTTTCCTGTAAAATAAATGTAATTTCACATTTTTAATATGAAATAATCTGACTTAGAGGAAGAAATATTCAGCATCAAGGATTTTATTTGATCCTCAGATCTCTATTCTTTACAAAGTATTTTCTAAAAGCCTGAAAAATAATCCCTCCTACAGCAATCTTGTCATCAGATTTCTGGAGACAGTACTCTAAAACAGGTAGATCCTATTCCACCACAGTGGATCAAATGAAGCTGATTTGGGAGCAAAACAATAAAAGAACATTTTTTTTTTACCTAGTTTCAACAAATAGTTAGAAAATATCCTTCTCTAACCCTGATGACCAATAAATACTTGGTGATCCCTGTGCTTTTTTAGTTCGTGGTCTAGAAGGCTGGAATAAAGATCTGAATGTTATATGGGAAATCAACTATTAACATATATAGCAGTCTTTTTACTCAGATATTATCAAGGCTTTTTGGATTCTTTACTAGTTCCTCACAGTGATTAGCACTGAGAAGTTACCAGAAAAGTGAAACCTGGATTTGATGTATTTATACATGCATAAAACATGTTCTTAATAGGTACTCAGCAAATTTATATGACTGATATCATGTAATAATGATAATTTTTGTTACAAAAGATAAACTCCAGTGCATGCACACATACACATGGAATATAAATTAATTTTCCC